GGGGGGTCAGGGGGGGGGCAGGGGGGTGATCCCAATCGAAACTTAAAATTAGCTGAGGAAGGTTTAGAGTTGCGTCGTCGTGCTTTCTAATGATGCGTCCTGCTTCTTTGTCATCGTCGTCGCTTAACGGTAACAATATGACATACGAGGCATGTTTGTAAGGGGGCTCCTGGGGGAGATAAAACTACGCATGCCGATATATTTTTACAATTTTTTCGGTGGCATGACCGTCATGCTTCTTACTGTAGTGTTGTCTCAACTCAGTACCTTCTAAGGTCCGTACCGGTCCAACTGACATGGACGCCTTCCACTGTACGGGGTCGAACAACCTACGAGGGACAACAATGTTGACTTTCTTCGGTGACATGACCGTTTAATGACAGCCACGAACAGCATCCATCGCGGCGGCAAAACCGAATGCATACCTCCTTGAGCGGAGGGGTGCAGCACTTCATGTGCACGCGGCGGTTGCAGTCGAAGTCCGCGCAGTACATGAGCTCATCCTTCGCGTCTTGACCGGCCGCCTTTTGGCAGTAGAAGCACGTAGGGTCTGCGGAACGCAACAACAGACGACAACAAGCAACAACGATAATAGCGGCAACAGAAAGACCAGCAGCAGACATAGTAGTCGGAGTGAGTGCGAGCGGTGAGGCCGTGTTGGGTGTTAGGGCAGTATCATCCACCACCCTCTGCCTCCGAAAAAAAGCAACAGCCATGTTGGCTTCGGGTCCATTATATTTTTTCGTATACCTTTTTGGGTAAGTTGGCCTGTGACCACGGGAATCGACCCCGTCAAGTGTTAGACTAGTAAGGACAGAAGAAGGTACTGGGCAGAGAGAACGGGACGGTTTTTAATGTGAAGACAACAACAACGACTGGTTAGATGTAGGGGCCGCAATGACCCACGACCCGTCCATCAAACGCCACACTTGAAAAAAAGGAAGAAAATAAAATCCACTCGAAGGCAGATTCGAATCTTAATGGCAATATTCCCTCTCACCTCCAAACAAAAAAGTGTGTTGGGTGTGTTATGTTTTGGGTGTATCGGGAGTTTTGTACCCATGTCGGTTGTGGGAACGCAATAACATGGGTATAGGGGGTGATTTTTAGTTTTCGGTTTTGGGGACGCAATATGAAGCAAGGCCAGTGAGTGAGAACGAGCACCGCGGTTGCTATTTGTCCCAGACCCTTATTTACGGATAGAGATGAATTCGTCGTGTTACATATAGAAAATAATAAGTGTTTCGAAGCAAATGGAACCGTGCACGCTACAGTCTACCACACGGCTGTGAACACCAACAACGCAATCCTAGCGCACGACAGCAAAGACCTATAAGCAGTGTCAATGCAGACAGACAGAAAGACCCATTGTAGTGTGTGCGACGTGCGGGGGCACTCGAAGGGTTTTGCTTTCGAAGTCACGTCAAAAGCAATCAAGAAAAAAACAAAACACACTGAATAAGAGACAGGCACACACAGAGCGCCAGAGAGCGCCAGAGAGCGCCAGAGCGAGACAGAGAGAGACAGAGAGAGAGAAAGAGACAGACAGATAGACTGATAGAGACCGAGAGACCCAGCTCAGCCTCACCTTCCGCAACGCCATCCGCCACGTCAACCTTCGCCCGCTTCCCCTGGCGACGCGCTTCCCCCCCGCCGCCGCCCCTCTTGCCCCTGCCCAAGCTCCGCCCTTCCCCACTCCCATCCCCAAAGCACTTACTCGTCATCTCTGAATCACCATCCTCGTTTGCCTCCTTCTCCTCCTCCCCCTCCACACCTTTCATAGCAGAGCCGACCTTGCGAGCTCGGGCACCCGTGCTCTTGCCAGTGGCCTTCGCAGCAGGGTTCTTCGATAAAAATAAAGGTGTTCGATACCGCAGGAAATCGGGGGAGTTGGGCAAGGGTTATCAAATAAACACGTTGGATGAAGCAATTTAATTGGGGGAGGTTGGGTTCGGGTCATCAAACAAACATGTTGGGACAGAGCACGCACTTGGGGGAGTTAGGTTAGGGTTAAGGAAAGGGTCTGCGTACTGTATCCCCTCCCTGCCATATTTCTTCAGAAACTACTTCCTCATAAACTCATTTTCTCGCGAACGCTGTCGGTCCGGTCCTGCTTACCCTTGACCCCTCGGTCATGCTTACTATTGACCCCTCATCATCCGAGGAGTCCGTGAATTCCGCGTCCGCTCCCGTGTACTTGAGCGCGGGCCTGCCCGACTTGCGCTTCTGCGCCTGCGGGTTGCACTTGGGATGCTTGGCCTTGAACTCCTAGCGGGTGGGGTTAACGGAATAACGGGAATAAAGGGGTTGGCAAGGGTGCACGCAGAAAAACTTCGAGCATACCCAGACACCCCCCTCCAGAGGGCCTGGGGGGGGGGGGGNGGGGGGGGGGGGGGGGGGGGGGGGGGGGGGGGGGGGGGGGCGAGGAGGGGACTCTAAAACCAAGTGCAAAAACGAAATTTCAAAAATGTATTTTCACTTTTTTCAAGGTACTACCACCACCGATGATTTTCCTTTTGAACTTCCTCCCCAACAAGCGCTGTAATGCGTGTCGTGTTCACCATTCTCCGTGCCACCTTGGGTTTGGCGATTTAGATCACTTTTAGTGACTCTGGTATCGCAAGGATGGAGTCGGGTCCGGAGGTTAGCGGTTCATAGTGTCACAAAATGTAGTATACTGTAGTCGCTATTGAGGGCATCGCCGCTGATCCGGATTGGCAGATACATTGTACAATAGTTCCACTACCGAGGTGCGGCCATGCCACGACATTTCTTAACAGCTCTTTGAGGGCATCCCTCGAAACAGGGAGGCAACTAACCGCCAATCCGACACCACGACTGTACCGTGTATGACATAAGATAACACACCCCCTGGACCAATTTTCAAAGCTCGACCACTCCACGACGAAGAGGATGAACTAACGAAACGATACATTTTCGGAAAGCTCTCAACGAGATGGTTTCAACGCCGCCGTTTTCGGCGCTGTGACTGTTCCTGCAGTTGAGAAATCGAGCCTCGAAATCGGTCAAGGGGGTGTGTTATCTTGTGTCATATACGGTGTGCAAACAAGACAGTACTCCCCCGGTTATAAAACACTAACACACGTGTCCTCCGAAAACCCCCATCAACTCTGAGCCATCTCTCCACAACGTGTGTTCTCACCGCTAGGCACGGAGCGCACATGCCCCACGCGTGGTGCCTCCTGCGGCAGGCGGGCATGGTGCAGCTCGGCCACAGCCTCGGCCTTGGTACCTTGACCTTCTTCACCGGGTACCGCTTCATGAAGCACTCCCGACAGTGACCCTTGCCGTAGTCCCCGGGCCCCCGCCCGTACGCCCTCGCCTCCCCCTCGCGAACATGCTTGCACATCTGCTCGGCGCAGCAGGAGTAGCATTTTGTTAGTTGCTTTATTGGGGGTACGGCTTGAACAGCAAACATCGCTAGACGGTGAAGCGAGGAGACATCTTGGAGCACGTGATACGATGCTGCTCCGCGTTTTGTTGCTTGCGGTGTGCACAGTACAGTAAAGAAGGCTTTACAACATACATAGGTAGGGAGTGAGACCAGAAGATGTTCCGAACCAAGTGATACATACTGGGGTGTGCTATGGCTTGAACAGTAAACATCGCTAGAGAGTGAAACCAGAAGACATTTTCAGAGCAAGTGATACACTTGCTCCAAGTTGGTTGTTTGGGGTGTGTACGAACATCGCTGTAGAGTCAAACCAGAAGACATTTGGGAGCAAATGACACAAAACTGCTTCATTTTTTGCTATTTTGTGGGTGTACGGCTACGGCAAGCCGTAGTGAAAACAGAAGACGTTTGGGGAGCATCACTACACTGCTCCATCGTTTGGAGAGGGCCAGCGGCAGCGATTACACACGCACACACACATTGGTCAGCCGGTTAGCGCGGTCGATGCTATTAAGCCAAAAAAAAACACACACATCAGAGCCAGCGACGGACAGCAGAAAAAAGAAGATCAAAGAGGGACACTCCTCAACCCACCAGAGATCCGCCATGCCGCATTGAAGGGATTGGCCAAGGTCGAGTAGCTATTGGGGATTTAGAGCCAATGTCAAGCACAAGGTCTTGCGGCAAGAAGCATGCCGTTCAACAAACAGCTTGTACGACAAATCCTTCGATCGAAATTTCCGGGAAACTCCAGAAAAAATCGCGACATCGCGATGTTGGAATGAACCTGTGCCTCGTAAACAACAAAAAACACACAAAAAAAAAATATATATCCTATACGTACAGTATATATACATCGACGAAACCACGCGTCCACACATGTACAACCAACGTTGCCGAAACAAACATGAGTGCCAATCAATCATGCTCCGGCGACATCAATTGTTCTGTTCTCTCACCCTGATGCCGGCCCTGGTCTTGATGGAGGCGTTTCTGCAGGCCGCGCACTCCCCGGACTTATTGACTGGCTCGGCCAGCCCTTTCCGGACGTGCTTGCACACCCATATCTTCACCCTGCCGAAAAGCAGCACACACAAATCAACGAAGCTAGACTATGAATTCATTGCTGGTACATCCTAGACCAATTCTACGGAGATACATATATATATATATATATATATATCTTTTTTGTTTCCCATCATTGGATTCTGTCGTCTGCCCCTCTGGCCCCTATCCTCCACTTCTACCAGCTAGACGACCCAACCGGGGTCACATAGGAGGAGGGGGTTGGGCCCCCTCCTGCGGTTCCTGCCTGAGATGTTTTTATCGCGAGAAGGGTACAGCAATCCCTTCCCTCGCGACTTATGAAGTCGATCAAGTTTACTAACAACGAGTTTTGCAGCGCGTCGTTGGGCTAGAAGCAAGAAAAAAAACAAATGAAAAGGAGGACAGGTTTGTGTAAGGGCGTCGACAATAAACAAACCGAGTTTATTGGAACAATTCGAATTGCCACGCCGTCTGGTACAGATGGAGTATTCAAGATGGTTAATACGTTTAATAGGGCGGATTCCCTGTATAGGGCGGGTGAATTAGTCTGCCGCATACTCGCTTTACAGGGTGCGTGCGACTGTACCCGGAAAAGTATCACACTAAAACAGAACACAGACCCAAGCAACAGCAAAACAAGAACAAAAGAACCATATTGTGCATGAAACAGAACAATGGGTTGGGTGGAAAAAATACACAATATGCATACATCAACAGAATAAGGTCGCGAGGCGAGGCCTTATGTTGTTCGGGGCGCACCATGATGTTGTCGCAGCCGCACTCATGGATGGATAACACTGGTATACGGCCTTATTCTTCTGTGACCAACACTACAAGAGACTGCCTCACACGCAAACATATCCACAGAAAACAACGGCTAATTCATCCTCTATTCTCCTTGTGTTGAATGTAAGAGATGAGCTCAATGCCCTTCGTTTTCGCAAGAAAAACAAAACACACAAACACACACAAACCGTGTCGGTCGTTAATCTTGAGGGTAGCGTAGACTCCCCCATGACGCTCGGTCACAGGGTCCCAGATCGTGGGCTTAAGAAGCATTTTTTATTTTCAACTGCACCGAGATTGACGCCTTTTCATCGGTCAGCAGGTCAGCGTGGTCTGTGCAAAAAAAACACACAAACACACACATACACAGAGGAGGAAGCACTCACGGGGGCGCCTTCTCCTTCTCCTTCTCCTTCTCCTTCTCCTTCTCCTCCTGTTCCTCGTCCTCTTCCTCTTCCCCTTCATCTTCCTCCGAAGACGATTCTTCCTCGGTCTCCTCCTTCCCGCGCACGTCCAAAGGAGATCCGGTCTCTCCCTCTCCGCCTTCCCTCCGCTCTGTGCCTTCTTGATCGTCCGCGGCGGTCATGTCCACGATAGGCGGCGCCGGCGAGGCCGGCTTGCGCCTGTAAGACTGTTGTTTGACACGCCGCCGGGGGGCGGGGGGGGGGGGGG